ATTTGAAAACAATATTAAACACCTCTTGTATCACTTTGTTTAGTATATCTACGAAAACGATCCGACCACGTGCATACACACTTAACAACTAAAAGCAAATCACATATGGAAATAAAATTTAACTTTACCAGATCCTCCTAAGTGGACATACACTGTTTTCGCCGTTTACGCGCGGACATCCACGGTTTTCTCCCTATATAGGATATTTTAAAAATGTAATATATCGGCACATTCAGCGTTTTCTTCCTATATTAATACATGAGCTAACAGTAGTTGCCATAATCTACAAAATGGAGTGTTTAATTCAATTTTAAAAATTTTGTGACATCTATGGTTTTCTCCCGACACCCTTCATGTATTCTACTCTTAGTAATTATCTATTGCTAGCGAAAAACAAAGAAAAGAAATAAGAGAAATCCCTGCAAATTATTGTTCGAAAAATGTCCGTTAGGAAGCACCATCTATTTCGCACCTCATCTATATAAGCTAGTGTGAGACACGAAAAACTTTAGACGATCAAAACTTTTTCCAAGGCTCCATGATTAAAAATTAGTGTTTTTAACATAGCCATGGCACACTAAATTGAAATTTAAAATACAATATTTTATCTCTGATTTTATTAAGCGAAAATGTCAAAAGTTGGCATATATGTCATTCTATTCAGAGTGTCATTTTCTATCGAATAAAGTAGAAATATGTACCGAGGGTGCCATTTAAAAATCAAAAGCTGTAGTCATTTCCGGTAAAACAGGAAGTGACCAAAATCAATTGAATACGGCGTCAATCAATCCTACTTATGTCATATATTAATAGAATCTTTGCTAATAGCAAATAGATCAAATATCGTTTTTTACCTGAAAAAAATAAAAAACTCGGTGAGTCACTTTTGAAACGCATCTGGTATATTTACTTGAACAGTTTTTGAATTACATATTTTGGTTTAATTATTAGAGTATACCTGAAAACTATATAAGGAAACATCTGAATTAAAATTACAGCCAACTGTCACTGTTGTGATCTTTCTCTTTGGCTTTGGACAAACTTTATAATCATTCTATTGTCTGTCCATTTGAGGGGGTATTTTCTGTCATTTTTTCGAAGTCGTCTGTCGAAACCTTCCCTGATTTCTTGGACAGACTTTATTTTACCTCAAAAACTAATTTTATTAGAGATATTCAGAGGTTCATATTAAAAAAGTGGAGAATTTGTCATTTTGGTTCACCCTGTAACAAATATCTTTACAGAGAAACTTCAAATAAAAAAAATGTTATATGCAAACCTGTCGTAATATTTACGATATTTTACGATTTTTTTTAAGAAAGCAATAATCTGTTGATTTTTTTGCACTAATTCATTTATTACACTCAATATTTTTTTATTTTAATTTTTATATTACATTTTTATGAGTATAAATTATAACATTTAAGTAAAGTTAGCTCTGGAAGTAAGATATAAAATATTAAAACATTCAATTCTTTGCTCCGTTACTCCGTTGGATCTTTGGATCAAAGATCCAACTCCGTCTAGGGCTCTTAGGAGCAACGAGAGAAAAATTAATGATAAAGGAAACACAAAAAGCAATCTTTTTTGGTACCGAAATTAATTTAACTGGTGTCAGTACGACACAAACCGAGCATCGGTGTATATCGCGCCAAACAATACCTGTCAAGTTTCTGTTCGATTCGTCTTATGTGTCTTAGTGTTGGCGGTTGGAGTCGCCATGAATGTTTGTAGGCATAATGTGGATTAATATATGTTTTGGGTAAGTGGTCAGTTAATCTTATTTTGATATTTTTAAAAAAACTGCTTCTCCTATAGTGCCTGAAGAAGCGACAATAAAGTCGCGAAACGTCGCAAAAACATTGTTTCCTTTCAAGCCTTCCCAAACACCCGCGATTTTTTTTATCTGCATATTAACTACTGGGAACTAACAATAATCATAATTTAAAAATAATATTCTCCCAGGATGGTATTAAAGAAAACTGGACAATTATGTTTATTTTATTCATATTATGGAATCTCCACTCCAAGTGTTGTTTGTTCAGCTTCGATAAATTCAAACACGTAAGATAAACACGTAGTAGGTAATATGATCTCGGGAAAAATAAAGAATATGTGTATTAAAGATCATGAAAAAGATTATTATTTTGAGTTCAAAATTAAAAAAGATTTTTGTAAAGACAAGAATGATAAAGTTTAAAAGAAGAATGTGTTTTTGTTTGATAATATAATGTATGTAAAGCATAACATATACTTGTTCAGTGATTTTTACTGAATAGTGTTGATTATTTATAATACCAAATTAATATCAAATATTTAAGTGATGGCTGAATACAATATGAATAAAATAACAATAAAATTGGTATATTTGCAATACAAAATTAAGTTTTAAGAATAAAGGTGTTACTAAAAATACTAAGAAATTCATATTTCTTTGTTTTAATTGGTCTAATGTTATTTACATTTTATGTAAGAATTATACCGTATTATCGAAAAAATCGGCGTCTACTTGGCCGATGACATTCCCTAAATAATTGTACACATAAAATAATTAACTAGAATTTTACAATCTTGGAAAATTTGATATTCTTGAACCTTGTTTCTAAATAATCTAAATTTTTTGATTTTCTTGGGATTTAGGTTCGGGAAAAACGCTGATTAAGTTTTCATTTGGTTTTTCATTATTTTTATTTGGTTAAAAAAAAACATTTTGGCTAACATTATAGCCTTCATCAGTGTTGTGTCATATGAAAAAAATAGTGTTGAATATAATCCAACAAATTACATATAAAATATTCACACCACGCACCACATAATGTTTACTGCGTACTCCATAGTCAATGTAGATAGTTTTAGTGTTAAGAATAATAATTTTAAAAAATATGTGGTCATCTTTTGATAAGTTTATATTAGTTTATTAATTGCAGTAAACATTATGTGGTGTGAATATTTTATATGTAATTTTTTGGATTATATTCGACACTATTTTTTTCATATGACACAATACTGATGAAGGCTATAGTTAGCCGAAACGTTTTTTTTTTAAACCAAATAAAAATAATGAAAGCCCAAATGAAAACTTAAATCAGCGTTTTTCCCGAACCTAAAAATCCCAAAAAAATCAAAAATTTTAGAATAATTTTACATATAAAATGCCAGCGATCTTCATTTCATAGCCATCGCTGACGCCTTTTTTTAGATGATATTGTATTATTTGTAAATATAATTTTTCGAACATTGATACTTGCAAAATATACGTATAAATTTTGTGAATGCAAATAATAATACATCAACTATTTGTAGATATTGAATGTTTTTTATTAAAATAGATCAATTTTCAAACCCCAAAATTTAAAATATATTTACATTTTACCCAATATCTTATGTACCTATACATTATTTTTATATTGTAAAACATTTGCTGCATTTGTATGGTTCATAATTTATTTGCCAAAGTATTTATTACTATAAATAGGTATATATGTTGTAGTTATTAACTGTATATTATGTATATTTCATGTAAACTATATCATTTTTAAAATACAAACCAAAAATCTGAGGAATAATTATGTTTTCCATGTATTCTACAACATATTTATTAATCCGTAGTATCTAACTAGCCTGACGTCATAAATCTCGCCCCAAGGCTGTTCTATTAGAGACGGCATTGGTTTAACCTCGGTTTAACGCAAGGACCAAATACGTTTAAATAAAATATACGACGGCCTCCCCATAAGAGCAATGAGGGTATTTACGTCGCAGTATTGAAGGAGGACAGAAAATCGAGTCGAATGGTTTCAAGACGAGAACAGTTAACTTAATAGGACTGCTCATTCAGCCAAAAGTGTCCGCCAGGTGCATGCGAAAACTACGCGCTTTGTGACGTCATTGTAGCCCTTGTCATGGTTATTAGTCCTTATCCGGCAACCAATAATACACACACGTGCATTATTGGTTACCGAATGCAAAACCTTCATTATTTAGTTTATTTATTTAAACACCTTACATGTATGCAGTATAGAAAATTAACTGTATAAATCGTATTAAATACTCGGATAATGCATTTTTAAGAACAGCAGTTCCCAGTGTATCACCTTTTGCAAGCATTCTTTTTAGAGTACTTCCATATTTTGCTTTAAAATAATTAATAAACAAAATCGTGGGCACTTAGTATGCACTTTGTCACAATCCACAACACAAAATGAACGTATTTATACACTCCATAGCTCTAAAAACTTTAAAGACACTTTTTCACATTTAAAATTGACAAAATAATTAACTCAAAATTTCTCAGCTGTTATTTTTATAAGTTTACCATAGGCAACTAATAATACACACTATCATGACAAGGCCACGAAGGCTTTGACAAGGGCTACAATGACGTCACAACTGTCAGCTGAAGCGCGGGAAGAGGCGAACGTACGTCTTATGAGCTTAATCTAAGCTTATGAGGATGAGCAATCCTATTAGTTTACCGTTCTTGGTTTCAAGGCATAGGTTCATCCTTTTTTTCAAGACATAGTCACCCTGGATGCTTACGTCACGCAGGGACCAGCGCTCCACAATGCGGCGGATGGTTATTCCATGGTTATTCTAGCGGGATAAAATCTCAGGGGCCATATTATATGGTTGGTTGATAAAAATGTATCGAAATACAAAGAATATATACGGCCAAAAAATAATTCATGCATTTTAATATCTATTGGAATGTCTACTATTTATTCTTATCAGTACATATTTTTGGCTTATTTCTAACCAAACGGTTTTGTCCCGCTAGATTTATCTTCCGCCGCACTGTGCGCTTGTCCGTCAAACGCAAAAATAACTGTCACTGGGAAACCAAAATCTTTAGCGCGAATTTCAACTCGGTCCCTAGAAAACGTAACAGTACAGGAAGATAGGAATCGAACTTAGATTAAGAACAATCTAAGAGAACAATCGAACTATCCTTATCTCTAAAGTATCCTTGAGTTTAACGATAGCTAGTGCGAAATCTAGTTACTTTTTCTGTAGTGCGAAAACTCCCATTGCATTTTTTTTTGAAGAAACATAACCAAATTTTATTAAAACGTCAAAATTTTGTGTAGCAGTCATTCTTATTTATATGGTGTTATTTGAGCCCTGTTTTACGAGATTTCTAGCACGTACAACCTTTACCATACCGTTGTTCAGAAGTATGAAGGTAATGTAGACTTTGTTGCACTACCGATGTCAATAAAAGTCAGTTTTCGCTGCATATTTAATGCGTTTTCACATGCTGATCAAAACGAGACACACACATATTTTGAATTTTATTTCACCGCTGGAACGTAATTTCACTCTGTCGTGATTTTATTTTTGTTTTTCTTGGTAGATGCGAATGTTGGATGAGAATTTAACGGGAGTTTAGTTGTGTTCTTATGTCGTACAAGTGTGCAGTGTTTCGTGTTGATGAACTTAAAAATACTTACCTACTTTGTGCGCAATTAAAACAATGATGGGTGTCGAGGTCGGAGAACCGAGAGTAACAAAAAAATGTAATTATTTTTTTCTCGCATTCCTATATGGCATTATTTCTCCAAATTCTGCTTATTAATAAAGCTACAATGCATGTGTTTTGCGGAAAACTGTACTTCCAATTAAATATATCTTTTTAAATACAATAACTATCATTTTTTTTCAGTAATATTTTTTAATAAACTATCAACAAACATGGACAATACTTTAGCGAGTGAGATTAAAAGAAAGCATAGCACAATAAGCGGACATTCCCCATTAGTATTAAATTCCTTGGATCCAACTATAAATAACCATGTCTGTGAGCCTGAAGAAAATGCATTGGAGCCGAAGAAAGATATACCCATTTTGTTACAGCAATTGGATTCATTAAATATTCTATCAGGTCAGTTTAGTATGTTTTTAATTATCATTTATTTTTTGATTATTAAACCCCAGATTTTTTTTGTATTGCTGTCATTGCTGATTTTTATTCTTATTGTTTGTTTACTTATGTGTAAAAGTTTTATGATTATGTGTAGGTACTATGCATAATTAATGGTCATCAAGCCTAAGCCCACATGATCATTAACCTTTTTAATCATGATGTTTTAATTTAAATTTTATTTTTTTCTGTCTACTAGATGAAGTTGATAATCTTGGACAAAAAAGTATCCTTTTACTGGATGACACCGAAAACTTGAGAATTAAATCAGAAGATGCTTTTATCAAGTCACTGAATTTAGAACCTAGGAAAAAAGTAAGTAGGTTTTGAAAGTAATTGTTGTATTTTTAACTAGTTTGGAATAAATTTATTATATTTTATGCAACTTCTAAGTCCAAGTCTATATTATGACATTTATTGAAACAAAAATGTTTTATGAATCTATAAGAATATGATTTTTGCAGGTCAAAGTAGTATCAATTTTTGGTAATACTGGTGAGGGCAAGTCACATACATTAAATCATGTTTTCTTCAATGGCGAAGACATATTCAAAACCTCTTCATCGCAAGTGTCCTGTACTATAGGTGTGTGGGCCAAATACGATACAAAAATGAATGTTATCTGTTTAGATACTGAAGGATTACTAGGTAAGTGCCTTTAAAAATATTCTCATTCTTTATATGTATGTCATAAAAATAAGTAGGTATGTCGTCGGTGAAAAGTGTTAAACTGCTAACTTCATTTTATAGAAGAGCAGAAAAACGGTACAAGAAATATGTACAAATGTAGCAAGTTATTCATGCGTTAATATGATAAAGAGATAACAATAATATTTATTGGGGAACAATAAAAGTTAATATTTTGTTAAAAGTAGAAGCAGGAAGGACACTAATACTGTTTTTATATTCATGCGTTCAGTGTTGCCAACTTTCTGAAATAGAATTTCCCACGAAGACGGTCAAAATTTCCCGTTTTTTCTATAAATTCCCACGAGTTCTCAAATCCAATTTACTGACGTAATACACAATACAGATGTTTTTTACCTGAAAATTTAAAATTTTTCCAAATTCTCCAATTTTTAAAAAAAATTCCAATTTGCTTTGCAAATATACTTTTTTTTTCGCGAAAAAAAAACTCATACGCGTGTTCTTGGAATCGAAATATACCATTCCTAGAAATTTTGCACTTTTTCAAAATTCCTCATGCATTTGAGGGGCGGGGGTATAAGAATCATGTCTGATGCCAACCGAAAATATATATTTAGTTGCAGTAATGCTAGTTTGAATTTACTCACTTTGCTAAGAAATGAAGAGCTAAGTGAGAATTTCCCACGAATATGGTGTTTTGGGCTAAATTTTCCTTTCCCTGTGGTTCTCGAAATATCCCACGAATCGGGAAATTTCCCACAACTTGCATGCGTTTTTCACACAGTCCCACAGAAATTTTCCACAAGCCCCACACTGCATGCGTTAGGGACGGAAGCGACGTCATGGAAATAATTTCTTTTGTCAGTAATTGTTAGTTTGGTTTGACGTTTTACTTGACACTCTGACGTTGTTTTTAACTCTTTTGAATTTATTGTGCGTTTCTGAGTTATATGTATAGTGTATTTTATGTTATGTCTTGTTTATTTTATAATCAGTGAGATTATTGTAGATCTTAGATGGAGGCTTGAAAAATAGTTAAAGGTGGAGCGATCGGTTGATAAATAAAAAACATAAAAAATAATGGAACAATTTTTATGAGCACATAATTATATAATACCTATATGTTTTACGAGTAGTAATCCATTCAATTAAACCATTCGTTTGGAGTTAACTAATTATGTTTTTATTCTTGCATTTACACATTTTTTTTGGGTACACGTCAAAGATAATTAAGATACGTCAATTTTATTAATTTTATAATTTTATTTAATAACTTTAACTAATTTATCTTTATTAAAAATATATTTTTTAACAATAACTAATAATATTTATTGAGTCAATGTATAATAAAATTATCAACTTATTAAGTTTACCAAACCTTCTACAATTTAAACAAATATTAAATTGATTAAAGGCTACCAATAAGCGTTATTTTATATATCAGTAATTAAGTCACTGTTCGTGATATATCGTCGTTTTGTCTTTTACTGCTTAAAGGATATTTGAAAAGAACTATAGAATGTCTTGAAATAGAAAATTAGTTTTTTTTTATTAACATTGGTATTTTAGGTGATATAGTCTATAAAATGAATAACTTTGAATTTTGACCGTTATTTTTTACCAACATGGCAAATATAAAATCCCTTGTCAAAAAAGTTACTGATATTCTTTAAATTGAGTGCTTGAACGAATCAGATAGGTAACTCTTTTTACTTTCGTGAAATAGAAAAGGAAAATAATAAAACAAGTGACAGTTCTTGCAAAAATCAACACGAATTGTCATAATTGTCAAAAATAAAATGTCATCAGCTTTTGACATTTCTAAATATCAGACCAATGCCGTCTCTAATAGAACAGCCTCGGAGCGAGATTTATGACGTCACGCTAGTTAGATACTACGGATTAATAAATATTATGTTGTAGAATATAGGGAAAACATAATTATTTCTCGTATTTTTGGTTTGTATTTTAAAAATGATATAGTTTACATGAAATATACATAATATACAGTTAATATAATATATATTTGAGGTGTGTAGTGTGAATATTTTATGTGTAATTTTTTGGATTATATTCGACACTATTTTTTTCATACGACACAACACTGATGAAGGCTATAATGTTAGCCGAAACGTTTTTTTAAACAAAAAAAAGTAATGAAAAACCAAATGATAACTTAATCAGCGTTTTTCCCGAACCTAAATCCCAAGAAAATCAAAAATTTTAGAATAATTTTACATATAAAATGACAGGGATCTTTATTTCATAGCCATCGTTGACGCCTTTTTTTCTATGATATTATATTATTTGTAAATATAATTTTTCGAACATTGATACTTGCAAAGTATACATATAAATTTTGTGGATGCAAATAATAATACATCACTATTAGTAGATATTGAATTTTTTTTTGTTAAATTAGATCGATTTTCAAACCCCAAAATTTAAAATATATTTTACATTTTACCCATTATCTTATGTACCTATTCATTATTTGTATATTGTAAAACATTTGCTGCATTTGTATGGTTCATAGTTTATTTGCCAAAGTATTTATTACTATAAATAGGTATATATCTTGTATTTATTAACTGTATATTATGTATATTTTATGTAAACTATATCATTTTTAAAATACAAACCATAAATACGAGGAATAATTATGTTTTCCATGTATTCTACAACATATTTATTAATCTGTAGTATCTAACTAGCGTGACGTCATAAATGTCGTTCCGTGGCTGTTCTATTAGAGACGGCATTGCGTCAGCATGGCCGCAAGTTGCTAACCTAATAAAATTAACACTAGAAAAGCCCGCGGGAACTGTCAAATTCAAAGTTATTCGTTTCACAGACTATATATGATACCTATAGGCTTGGTGCATTCTCCGCCGGTGCTGCCACCGCCGGAGAATATCGTAAATAAAGAATACATACACGGGTTTAAATGGCGAGTAAACGAAAAAATTAGTATATAATTATTTTTCCAAAAGTATTAGAAAGTATAATTTGTGGAAATTCTAAACAAAAAAAAGGTAAATATTTTGATATCTTGAGAAGGTCTAACTTGCATTATAATTTATTATTCCAGTTAAAAAAAATTAGATGAGTTCAACTACGGTAGCAAGCATAGTTTTATCACCGGTTTTACTAGTGGGGCATAATTGGAGCTATTTCGGCTATAACGAAATTTTTTAAAGGTACATATTTATAATTTTAGAAGATGTTTATAAAACATTTAAGCATTAGTTAAAAAAGTATACCATTAATATTGTAAATTATATTTCATCCTCTCATAGTATATGTCTATTTAATTTTTTGATTACTCATTTGTTTCGTCGAACTGCTTGAATCCATTTTTGCTATTGATCAAATCGGTGTAAGAAATTATGAAGCTATAAAATGTTGTTTCGGGAGAGTTGAATATCCGGGAAAGTTGAGTTATTGAATGTTATTGCACTTAACAACGCCTTAATTACGCTCTCCTTTACGCGTTAACATTTTTTTGGTCAATTTTATTAACATTTGAAATTGTCACAACACAACAAGACGCAAGGCGCCTAGTTCGAATTCTTTTTCACTTATTTTCTACTACCCGAAACAGCGTTACATCACACAAACCTCGTACCTGAGTGTTTTATCACAGATTAGGTATCCTATAAGTATACAGATAAAAATCTTATCCCTAATTCGTGGTACGAAAATTGTTTTTTATGACGATGTGCAAACGAGTAAAATTTCCTGTGCGCAAAAATAAACTCGCGTAAAATAACAATAAACAGCGTAATAGAGAGATATCGCTAAACCGAAATGCGTGCATGGATGTTAATAAGGCCAGGTGTTATTTCCTTTACGTGAGGTGGTATTAACTCTCTTCATTTATAGTTATCGGATCGGAAAGAATTCTGTTCGCGTTGCGTCCGCTATTTAAACTTAACCTAACTTTAAATTTATAACTTTGAAATTGTTTTGTTTACTAGGTATTTTAAAACTAAAGGGCTAAAGTGCTTATTTCCAGTGCTTTATTGTTCAACTGCCAGTGGGTTTAGGGCAACAAGCAACATATTCTCTTAGAAGGGCTAAGTTGTCATCTGCTGTAAACCTAAACCTCTTTATAGGTTCTTTAATATTGGAAGAGGTGGAATCCATATTTTGGGCCATATTTATTTAATTAAAACTAATCCCAGCTACTTAAATATCAAATTACCTAATAAAACTAAAGTAATAATTCAAAACAATTCAAACATAACCTAAAATAAAAGATCTCGCCGGCCGGCCTCGGTTGTCAAATACCCGCACAGGCCCATTTAAGCAATTTTTAAACGTTTAGAAATAGCGCTTGAGTAATTGATCTGCAAATTACGTCAGGCGGTAACGTTATTAGCGGGTGTTGCGTTAAAAATTGACTCGCGCATATCGTAACCATGATAAGGTACGCGTAAATACTGCGTGACGCTATTCGGTTTTCCGATATCTCTATAATAACTATGCCGGTCAGGCGCAGTGCACAATTTTAGAGGCCATAAGTGGGCGTGCTATGTGCGCAAACTAGTAACATAACTAGTACCCGATTCTGAAAATTGGAACCACGAAAAACAATAAAGAAAAAACAAAGTTTATAATCTGTATAATCTGAGGTTTGGTTTGGTTTGGCAAAAAAAAGCAGAAAACTAAAATACTTAAATATTATGACAAAACTCCGATTTCAATCTTATTTTAATGTGATCGACATGATTGATTCTGACGTAGAGTGCGCTGCGGTCGGAATGTGTTGAAATCAACTGAAATGCACCGCCTATAGCCGTTTTGACTTTTACTACTTAAAGGATATCTGAGAAGAACTATATAGAACGCCCTGAAATAGGAAATCAATAGTTTTAGGAACATTGTTATTTTAGATAATATTTGATATGGGGGATTAGGAATGCTGGGTATAAATTCTTAAGCGTCATATTTACTACGCGCTGACGAGTGATTAAATTCGTCCATGCGTTCATAAA